TATGCATATTTGCTTGAATAGATACAGGCTGAAAAAGACATGTAAAATGGATTTCATGTTATTTACGCGATAGGGAGCTCTTTCTTCCTAATACATAAATAACGGGTGATTTTTTAAGAGGTATAGGATTTGATTTTCAAAAAAAAAAAACACAAAACATTTGAAAAAACGATTAAATCTTTATCTGAGTCGATAGAACGGTCGATATAATTTAATGTTCAAAGATTATTTCATGTAAATGTTGGCCGCGGCTCCGCTTTAGATGGCCCATGCGCAAGGTCCAATTTTGGCACACTCTCTCCAACATATCGACCGGTATCTCACGAATAAATGCTTCAGTATTGGCTTCCAGTGCGTCAATCGTTGCTGGTTTATCCCTGTAGACATTAGCCTTAACATGGCCCCACAAGAAATAGTCCAACGGCGTTAAATCACACGATCTAGACGGCCAGTTGACGGGCCTCAAACGTGAGATAAACTGTTCACCGAACTCGCCTCTCAATAGGGCCATTGTTTCGTGTGCGGTGTGGCATGTGGCACCGTCTTGTTGAAGCCACATGTCAGCCAAGTCCAGCTCTTCCATTTTGGGCAAAAAAAAGTTTGTTATCATCGCACGGGAGCGCTCGCCATTCACAGTTACGTTCCGGCCATTGTCGTCTTTGAAGAAGTACGGCCCGATGATGCCACCGCCTACCAAAAACCATACCAAACAGTGATTTTTTCGGGATGCATTGGTAGCTCTTGCAATACTTCTGGCTGGTCTTCACTCCAGATGCGGCAATTTTGCTTGTTAACGTACCCATTCAACCAGAAATGAGCTTCGTCGCTGAACACAATTTTTCGATAAAAATGTGGATCTTCCTCCAACTTTGCCAGCGCCCATTCACCAAATGGGAAACGTTGTGGGAGGTCGTGTGGCTTCAATTCTTGCACCAGCTATATCTTATAAGGTTTCACACCCAAATCCTGTCGCAAAATTTTCCACGTAGTGGAGTAACAGAGGCCCAATTGCTGCGAACGGCAGCGAATCGACATTTCACGGTCATCACTAACACTGGCGGATACAGCCGCAATATTTTCTTCAGTCCTCACTCTACGTCTGCGTGTTGGTGGTTTAATGTCCAATAATGTAAACTGGGTTCGAAATTCAGTCACAAGCTTCCGAATAGCTCCCTCAGTAGGCCGACCAAATTGCCCATAAATTGGAAGCAGTGCTCGATGCACTCTCTTAACCGAACATGAATTTTGATAGTGAAATTCAATAATTTGCAAGCGTTGTTCGTTCGTAAGTCGATTCATGGTTAAATTATAGACCAAACTGAACAAGTTTGACAATGACACAAGACACGATTCACGCGTCATCTGTCAAAAACAGTGTTGCCAAAAAGATACTAACACAAAAACCACCCATTACATATGAACGACATCGCACAATGTTTCAGCCATTGTCAATTTCTTCTTTACGCAGATGGTTTAAAAATGTATCGTATAGTAGAGAGCCTTCAGGAAATACCTATAATCTGATATCGTAAGATTTAACGATTATTGTCAGAGAAATGACATGCTACCCAATACCAGAAATGCTTCTCAATAACCTTTACTAAGAAAGAAACCTATCACATTATGTCAATGTCGATATTAGTTCTGCGAGCAATATTATTATTATGGATTTAACTATAAATAAAACGAATAAGATGCTTGGCTTTATTAGAAGGCGTTCTCGATACTTTAACAACCTTGCTACAGTGTTATCTCTATATTATGCGTTTATACATTACTAATGTCTGTCCAATTTTGGCCTATAAGGCGAATATCATTGTCCATAATAATGGTTATAGTATAGTAATGGAGGGTTCCAAAATCTTACCCCTGACTAAGAGAGATTTATGCTTTCTTCACCGAAGCTTGAACAACTAAATTGACTGCTTGTACCTTTTATCATAAACCAATATAAACGTACCGCTAAGAGGGAATTCTAGGTACTCATGTACATATTTCAATATGTCATTTTGTAAAAACCATATTGGTTTAAACCCTCCACTGATACGAATGCAAAGAAATCTCAAGAACCCTGATAAATTTGCTGATATTGTTAAAGCTCAAATACTTGATAAAAAAACACGATGTTCGTATCGGGTGATGCAGATGTCATCAAAAACGCGCGTTGATTTCCGTGTATAAGGAAATAGTACGCGCGTTTTTTTACAGCGCGTCAATTCAACGCTAATGTATCCCGAATGGCGGAAAGCCTACTTCGGTACCCTTACTCTGAAGAAATCCTCCTGTTGGCGAGTTGTCGACAAAGCTATTCATTTTGTTGTTTAAAAACTAAAGTGTTCGAACTGTTTACTTAACTCCCGTATGTCAGTGTTAAGCGTATTATAGAGCAACCCCATCATGTGATGAGTTTTGTTTTGCCGACACTTGTTTTAGTCGGTGGAGTGGTTAATAATGAATTAGGCTACTAATTGAACCAATTGATGTTTTATAGATTTGTAATTTCTGTCCGGCCGGCGGCGGACCGGCAGCGAGCGAACACCGGAGCGTCCGACGGCAAAACGAGTCCGTTAACAAATAACCTGACAAATATAAATAAATTATACAAATGGGGATATATTGTGCCACCGGTGAGCGAATGCCGGTTACATTTTAGTACGGAAAACGTTTGCAGACAACAGTTCAAAATTTGCGTTTGCGTTTTAGCGCAATACTCACTTATGAACAGATTTTTTCTTCCGAATTTTTTTAGTCCGACTCACGGTTTACAGCTAAAAATAAAATCTACTATTAATCTATAAATAATTTTTTGTGATCATGCAAAATATCGTTTATTATTTTTTTAAGCGAAAACCGTGCATCGGTTTGTAAAAAATCAATTGATCAAATTTGCTGATTTCGGGGTTTCAAGAATAATTTGTTTAGGAGAAATTAGTGTCATATCAATAAATGTTTGTCAAAATAGGTGGCATTAAAAGAGTGTGGTACGTTAAAAATGCCTTTTGGTACCTAGTACATGTACCTGTATGCCACATTTCATTAACATATCTAAAGAGGCATTACAGATTAATGATTTATTTTTGAAAACTTTACCACCCTGAATCTCAAAAGTTATGCTGCTTAGGACATACGTTCATATGAAGTTTTCTTCTTAAAATGAACTCGAAAATCACCCCTTTAAATATTGAAGTTCATTTAGGAAACACCCTATATATACATTCTTCCAGTCGTCGTGGCATGTTTCTGACACAGCTTAGACAACACTCATCTATAAAACTCGCCTGTCAGTGTCAAAAACGGACGATTTTTCTATTTATGGTAAATACTTTCACCAATATTTTAAAACATTTTCGTAACTAAATAGTCATCAATAGTTCGTAGCTTCTTTTTGGACAAACATATTCCTCTTCATTATTGGTCCGCACAAACTACACCAGATCACATCGGAATAGTATAATTTTTACGATTGCAAATAATATTTGCGGACGCTCGTATTGTACGTGGCTGCTGGACACTAAAACATCTTTCATAGTTGTTCTGGGGGAATTTAGATCCGACTTTCTTCGCCGAAATGGCGGCCGTTTTTGACAGTGACAGGTAAGTTTTATAGCTGATTGTTATCTAAGCTGTGTAAGGTAATTTCTATCTTCTTAAGGCTGATTTGAGCGTTGTTGAGGTGGTCTATTGTATCTCTAGCAATACAATAATTGTCTTGTTAGAAGATACGACAAGCATTTGCAGGAATTGCCAAAAATGAGACTTCAGAATTTTCGGGATATACCGTTGTGCCATCATGTCTCCTCTAAAGGAAACTAGAAATGACTTTATCACCATATTTAATGGCGCCCTAAGCCATAAGTGCTACAGTATGGAGTGTACGTGTCGCTCAACTAGAAACCTCCATCCATCTTACTTAAAACAATGTTATGCTGTTCATTGTCCCAAATTTCTTGGTCTTAGGAGAAACGCATAATTTAAAACTTTACATGTATTGCTAAGTTACCTCTAATTTTCATTAGAGGTGTGGCGGCGCATCGGCATATCGAGAATCCCATTTTGAGCTTTCTTCCTTTGCCGCTTAGACCTCATCCTCCACAAACAGCTCTTGAGCATGAAGTACAGCTAGCTTGGAATGAGATACCTCAAGAAGAAGTAAATCACCTAAAAATGTCATCACTTTAAAACTTAGTCACTACCTTCTCGAGCTCATGTCTAATTGATCCGGACTTGATTCTTGCCATTGTAATGAAGAGGTGTGCAGCAGAGCTTGTGCTCCAGTTATTTCGCGTCTCTTCCAGATATCTTATGAATCCGGCAACTTCACAGAAAACTGGAAATTTGCTCATGTCCAAACCCATCCCAAAAAAAGGGATTTAAGATCGACCCTGACATCTACCGTCCTATAGATCTGCTTTCTGTTATGAATAACGTGATGGAGAGGTGCTTAAATTGCGAGCTTCTGGAGGGCCTCGAACGTCACGGCTTGATTAGCGACACTCAGTATGGCTTCCGGCACCAACGATCCACAGGGGATCTCCTAGCTTGCGTCACGTAATTGTGGAGTAAACTCAACCAGTCTTATGGTGAAGTTCATATCGTTGTTCTTGATATCACGAAAGCGTTCGATCAGCAGTGGCACGCTGCGCTCTTATTCAAACGTCCATCCTATGGCCTCCCAGAGAAGCGTTGCAGATGGGTGACTGACTTTCTCTCTGGACACAAAATTTTTCGTAATTGACGGGTTCTCCTCTTCATCCCACAACGTCAATGCAGGTGTTCCCCAGGGATCGGTCTTGGCTCCGACACTGTCCCTCTGACATACGAGGGATGTCTTTTAAGTTTTGCATATGGAAATAAAACAACACGGTAGGTAGTTTTAAATGACTTTACTGTTTTTCGAAGTATTCTCCACGAAGATTAATAGACATCTGCATGCGCTCGAACCAATTTTCGAAGCACTTATTCCACTCGTTTGTTGGCAGATCCAAAACGGCATTTTTGATATGCGTCAACTGCTTCTTCTGGTGACTGGAACCTTTGACCACGCAGTCTGTTTTTAATTTTCGGGAAAGTAAAGAAATCGTTAGGACTTAGATCGGGACTATATGGAGGATTGTCCAATAATTCCACGTTTTCTTCCGTTCAATACTGCCTCGTTTTTTGGGCTGTGTGCGTGGAGGATGATTCTTCTATCGGGGTTGATTTTTTGAAGCTCGGTGATGACTTTTGGCAAACAAATGGTGGTATACCAATCCGCAGTAACAGTTCTTTGCTTATTAGGAGGAATTGTTTCAATATGACCCGCTTTTGACACAAATGTCGCGACCATCTTTTTCGAAACACTTCGAGAACGGAAGACTTTTGTTGGCTTTTCTTCACCTTGGAACACCCATACAGCCGACGGTCGTTTATTTTCTGGTTCTTAACAGTAAATCCACGATGCATCACCACTAACAATGCTGTACACATTTTTTGAGTTTCCGGAATTGAAACGGTCAAGCGTTTCTTGACACCAATTAACCCTGGCTGCTTTCTGCTCGTCAGTCAACAGGTGGGGTATCCAACGAGAAACTAATTTTCTTACTCCTAATTCTTCATGTAAAATTTTTTGAATTGAGGTCTTTGAGATCTTCAAGGACGCCTCAATCTCGCGATATATTACATGTCTTTCTTCAATGATGAGTTTGCGCACAGCATCGACGTTTTCCTGGGTGACTGCCGATTTTGGTGCACCCACCCTGGGATCGTCGCTAAGACTCACCCGTCCACGTTTGAATTCTCCATACCAACGGGAAATTGTCGACTGATGTGACGCTTCGTTGCCAAAAACAGACAGTATCTCAGCAAGGCATTCTTGTTGCGATAATTGTCTCTGAAAGTTGTAATAAATTATGGCGCGAAAATGTTCTCGGTTGAGTTCCATTTTTCTAATGACTTGGTGACACTTAAAAATTCACTGTAGTGGGAACACTGCACGTATTGTTGTGAAACTTTCAATTTAAGTTTACTAAAGAGTGAGGTTAAGATTCAGTACTGACGTTCGATCCGCGCGGCCTACTATGTTCCTATATGCAAAACTTAAAAGACATCCCTCGTATCAACGACCTCCTTTCCTGTACGATCAACTCAATCTACAGCTTTGCTGATGACAACACTCTACATGTATGAATTCAGCGACAAGCCGATCTCTGCCGGTGAGCTTAAAAAAAGAAGACTAACAGATCCATAAAAAGTAAACTCAAAATGGTACGCCCAAGTGGGTTGTCACACTGTGACTATCAAGTATAGATTAGGAGTACTCAGACGTTTACGAGAAAATTCCCGAGATAGCTAGACGGAGCTAAAGAACATATGCCTGAGCTTACACAACCAAGCTTTCGCGCACAAAGGCAGGTTGCATATGTATGTGTAAGGGAGATGGATCTATAGTGTGACCCGCCAAAAATCTTGAAATAAACAATTAATTTTATATCTTATGTATCTATGATTGAAACTATCTTTCCTCAAGATTTGACTATAGCCGGAAGTTATGACAGAAGCGATTATGTCACCTCTGTCATTTCCATATGTCGTCATTTCCGCATCCGAGTTGAATTATTTGTAGAAATTCGCTTGGTAGCATTGCATCGTTACTAGCTGGCCCGTTGTCCCTCCGATCCGATCACATCTGTTAATGATTTGTCCTAATTAGACCGACTGAGCGCCCCCACGGGGGGTGGACGGCCATCCCAACCTCCCTCATCCCCTTCACAACGTGTTGGATGACATTGGATGAATAGTTATTGGATAGAGCCGCGATGTCGTGTGAAAGTGCAGATTTCATACGTAATGGATTAACGGACACTAAACAACGGTAGTGATATAATTTGACACAGTAGAGTCGTGTAATTTTCCTTCATTCAAACTGATGCTAAAATACTGTGGTCAATTGAAATTACCCGCATACAGAAGAAGTTGTTATCAGAAAACTTATGATGGAGTAGCAGACACTCCCTGTAAATACCAGGACACCACGGCGGCTATGAGGAGCTTAAAAACATTTTTTAACTGCTTAAGGTTACTAGAACTGGGAAACGCCTCCTCAGGTAGATCGTTGCTCAATCTCAATACCCTAGGGACAAAAAAGATGTAGTGAAGTTCGAGACGGTTAGGAGTAAAGGGTTCCGAAACTGTCCGTTAGAGAAACAGCATCAAGCATGGATAATGTAGACGGAGCGGCAGCACCTCAAGCATGTGAGCAGGACTCGACTTATCTGGGCGAGAGAGGGGAGGTCATGTGGAGAAAAGTACTTCTTAGCCCTACAACAAATATCCCAGCTTTCTCCAGCAGCTGCCGCTATTGTTGAGATGTGTTCGAGTCAGATCAAATCCTCGGTGTTTGGACTCAGATCAGCTCGCTGGTAGAACTCTACCATCCATCGATGAGCGCTGGGGAGCTTCTTGTTCGTCAAGGTACAGTACTGTCTTTTGGTAGCATTAAACTATACCAGATTGTTGCCTCACCAAGCAGTGATAACCTCCAGAAGTCTTGTCAGAGAGGAATTTGCTGCTATCTTTTCGCCAGTTCATAAACAGAGATCGGCTTGTCACTGTGAATTCCTGCCTGTAGAGTGCTGTCATCAGGAAAGCTAAGGATTGGATTGACCATACAGGAAAGAAGGTCTTTGTTGTGGAAGAGGAACAATGTCAGAGCCAAGACCGATCCCTGGGGGATATCTTGCGGCCAGAGAGGAAGTCAGCCACCCATGTGCATAGCTTCCGTAGGAGGCCATAGGATAGACGTGGTATCAAGGGCAACAACCTGAGCCTCACCATAAGACAATTACATGAAGTAAGCTAGGTCTCCTGTAGATCGCCGGAAACCGTACTGATTGTCGCTAATCAAGCCGTGACGTTCGATGTACTCCCAGAAGCTCCCGATTACTTATAACAAAAATCACAGCTATAGGCCTGTAGTTGTAAAGGTCGGTCTTAGATACTTTTTTGGGAAGGGTTAGACATGAGCAAATTTCTGGAGCTTCGTTCAATTTTTGAAACACTTGATTTGGATGCATCTGACCGACATTGACTGGACTAATCTTCCGTTGTTGGAAATCCAATTTACGAAAGTCACTCACAAATTATACGTATCTGTGATGTATCCGATTGGTTCAGGTATAGCAGGTATTGCTTACTATTTTTTCCTTTGAAAGTTGATCTCTGTTTTTTCCACCATCAGTATTTGTAGTTGGATTGGTGAAGATAAAAAATAAATAGATCACTCGCTGTGGATTATAGGGTGAAATTTGAGGGGTGTATTTCCTTTTCAGTCTAATTGGGAACGATTTGTTTTAGTGGGTTTTTTAGAATACAAGTGGAAGAAGCCGTTTTGATCTTTTAAATGTAGAGTCAATGCGGAACTTCCAGTAATAAAATCGCTAACTGACGTTTTTGTTACCACTCTTAATATAAGAAATTGACATTTAAATCCAGTATAATGTAAGGGAATTGAGAGATTTTTAACAATTTGTATTGCTCTTGTATACATTCAAAACATATATCTTAGAGAAGTGTGAAAAACGAGAGGACGTAGGATGTGACCTTTTTACAACCTATTAGTATCATTATGAGATATAATGCACAGGACGCTTGGATTTTGACGACTGAATTTGACGCCGCTGGCTTGGCTGTCTTTTTGAATGGCACTTTGGTTAAAATCAACTTCACTGGTTTGTCTTATGAGATGCCGTAGTAGAACTGCTCAGCTCTTTTGTATATCTTCTTAAGACACTCTAATTTAAGATTATCACTTTTACGTATACGAGGAAACATTGCAGTAAGTCCGTATGTTAGTAACGGATAGATGCATGCTTCTGTTATTGTGTCCGTGCCTAACATTTTTTGTAATTCCATTAAATATTTAAACTATCAACATTCAACAAACGTGATTATAAAAGATAAGGTGTAAACTCTGTCTAATCTGTTCAAAAATGACCACTGGGTATCGTGGAAGTTATTAATTGATCAATTTGGAATAAGCAATTGTAGCTGACAAATAAATTCCTCACATTTGCCTTAAAATTTCTAAAGCGACAAATTACATTATCTGCATAGCATACATACATCGAAACTCGCCTGCCACTGTCTGGCAACATCGCAATATTCACAAATTACAAAAATTGTAGTTTTTTTCATCTTGAGCAATTTGAATGAAAAAATCTCCAGTACATTTTCTCTAAATTGACCGCTTTCGACTTGATGTCTGAAATCCCTAACAATGGTTATATGCAGTGCTTAAAAACGGTAAAAAATTATAATATTTCAGGTCGCCAAGTATCTAAGTTTAATTCAAAACCTTGCTTATACAAGACCAAGACTATTTTATTGTGAAGCGATTTTTGAGCTTAATTGTCGAACTTTTGCTTTTCGCAGACTGTAATTTGTACAAATACCTCAACCAGTCTGCTAAAAGATCACCAGTATTCTGGTATAACCATTTCGCATTAAGCTTAAAAGTATGTTCTAAAAGTTAAGCTAATGTTAATCTGTATCAAGAAGTCATAAATCACAATCTGAACACCGCAGACGCATACACACCATTTGCAGTAATATAGCCAAAAAACCGTCTAAAATCCAATTAATTTATGGAGAGCGAAAGAGAGAGAGGTAGATACCAAATGCTGCGTTGCGCTGCCGTGACAGTATACAACATCAATTCAATTTAGATTATAATGTTCTAGTTATACAAGCAATTAAATATTAAACTAAAGCACACACTGTAATAATAACTTATTGCGGAATAAATAATTAAATTTTTAAAGCGTTCAGCAGCGATACATTAATTCCGCTACAATTTATAATGTGATTTCGGCCCGATAAATCCATTGATTATTTATTTATTTATTTTAATAACTATTTGTAACTGATACTTTCCGCAAAATACCGCCGCGTGTATGTACCGCCGGATTAAAAATTAAACATTTATGTCAGTGGATAACGCAAATTTATCATGGGAATACATTAATTTGTCTACGCTGTTTCGTCTATATTTATTACCAATGATTATTGGATATTTCCGGTGATTTGGCGTTTTGTTGTTTTTTAATGTGAACATGCGATGTGCACTTTTTCCATGGCATATTGGTTTTTCTGGCTTGATATATTGTTCAACGATGAACTGCTAGTTATTATTTTCATCTGTATACACTTGACGCCTGGAATAATAATAGGTTTTTAAAAGCTGTATCGCTGTTCAACGTCATGTAGTGCTGGTGTACATTCCGGCAGAGCAATATCAAAATCGGAGCCTATAATTAGTAAAGTTCAAAGAGGGTGTTTCCTTTAGGCAGCAAGCAACACTGCATACTCGTGCAGTTTTACTTTCCACGCCTACTGGCGAGGAAGTATTGTAATCGCAAAAAATTTCGAAAATGAGATAATGTTTTTGGATGTTACTTGACATGTACAAATTATGATACTCGGCTCGCCTAGGATAAATTGTAAAGTACTGCTCGGTTTGGGAGGAAATTTTACAGTGATCAGGTACCGGGGAGAAGCGACTTTGCCACATGGACGGTACTACCGATAGAGCAAGG